CTCAGGTGGCGCAAATCGAGGCCGATTACGCCACTCTCGAATCACCCGAACGACATGGAAATACGAACTCTAGGACACTTTCTGGTGGGTAGGCCACTTACCGAAATACCAGAACCATCACTTCAAGATCTCAACGAGACCAGACTTTCGAGATGGCAGCGAATGCAGAACTTCCTTCAACACATCTGAAAGCGTTGGTCGACTCAGTACCTTTCTGATCTGCAAACTCGAACAAAATGGAGCAGCCAACGGAACAACATTTCTATCGGAACAATGGTGCTGCTATGTGAGTGACGATAACATACCATCCCTCAAGTGGCGCATGGGACGAGTTATTGAAATCCACCCGGGCAACATCCGTGTCGTCAAGGTTCACACGAAGCACGGAGAGTTCTTGCGGGCGATATCCAAAATTTGAGTTCTGACAATACAATGAAGCTACCTCAAGCTCACGGAAAGGATACATTCCTTTCCCAGTGAGCGCTTTCGGGTGCTGCAGAGGCCTGCGGTTCCTTTTATAATTCGTGATACCAAACACCATTCCATTTGGTCAGCAGGGTACAACACTGATTTGCTGCTCATCCTCGAAGTCGCACAGAAGTCTTGCTATCCAGATGCCCCTTCGGACTACTCTCGGACATCCGATCCGATTGTCAACTCTCCTGAAGTTGTATGCCTGGAAAATCATCACCATCGGACGGGTAGTTGTCGAGTTCCTTGGTAGCGCAACCGTGCTAGCGGAAGTGAACGGCCTCCACTAAACAGGGAAGTCGTTTGTTTTTTGTAATTTACAGTTAAACAATCGCCTCTCATCTCATTCATAGAATGCCCGATCGAAGGGTCAACAAGCGATCGAGGAGGAATCCATGGACAATCCCAAACATCTACACATCGTGTGAGCGATGACGAGGGCAAACGAACGAGGAATAACCTTCAGCAGCTGCAGTATTGACATCCATTGTCATTTATGCACTAACGTTAGTTTTGATTTGCATGTTACGAGACAGGAGATTTTGGTTTTGTATAGCTATCGAAGTATATTAATGTAGGTTGAAACTAGGTATTTCTCGATTACTTTTTCGAAGGGACGTATCAGCTTTTGTAAACAATGCATTTGATCGTCAATTTGGCGTAACTGGTAGCTCGCACACGCATACTAACACCACTATCAGGTAGGGTAAAACTTCCCTTGTCTTATGGTAGTGTTAGCATGCGTAAGCGAGCTGCCAGTTACGCCAAATCGACGATCAAATGCATTGTTTACAAAAGTTGATACGTCCCTTCGAAAAAGTAATCGAGATTTCAAGTTCGCACCGGTCACCAATCACAACACCCCTTCAAGGGTTACCAAGCAAAGACCACACCACTGCAAGATCACTCACTCGATCATGAGTGACCCGAGTAGGGAATATATTCGAGGTTTGTGAAAATATTATGTCTGGTCTTTCGAAAGTAACCCATCTGATTAAGTCTTGTTTCAAGGGTAAGATGTTCCAAGTTTGGTCGGTTAATGCTGGGTAATGCGCAATACAGATCCCATTGAGATCACTAGCCTCTTCCCAGCAACTCCTATCCCTACCTCCCCGTGGTACCGGCCGGGAACTGTGAGCAACCTTAGGGAAGATCGGGTAACCAACCCCGGTGGGAACTTTGGTCATAGGCTGACAGGGAAGGGGGGTGGGGGGGGGATTGCTTTGGCCAGCCTGAGCGTCTGTTCTCCAGGAGGAGCGGCTCACAACAGCGTCTGTTCCCCATGTTAGGGGCGGCTGATCTACGTCCGAGTGCCAGTGAAGGACTCTAAGCACAACTGTGCACCCTGGTCCTCCGGAAAGTTAGGGGGTTGGTGTCAGGCCCTGCGAGCCAGCCGTAATAAAAGCATTGCAACGGAAAATCAGCAACAGAGGAATACGAACCGAGACCAACGCCAACGACCCCAGCGACGAAATAGGACTTGCGATTGGAAACTCGGCACGTGGAACTGTCGATCTCTCAATTTCATCGGGAGCACCCGAATACTCGCCAATCTACTGGAGGACCGCGGATTCGGCATCGTAGCGCTGCAGGAGGTGTGTTGGACAGGATCCATGGTGAGAACGTTTCGAGGTAATCATACCATCTACCAGAGTTGCGGCAACACACGCGAGCTGGGCACAGCTTTTATCGTGATGGGCGAAATGCAGAAGCGCGTGATCGGTTGGTGACCGATCGACGAAAGAATGTGCAGGTTGAGGATCAAGGGTCGATTCTTCAACTTTAGCATAATCAACGTGCACAGCCCTCACTCCGGAAGCACTGATGATGACAAGAACGCATTTTACGCGCAGCTCGACCGCGAGTACGATCGCTGCCCAAGCCACGACGTCAAGATCATCATAGGAGACCTAAACGCTCAGGTAGGCCAGGAGGATGAATTCAGACCGACGGTTGGAAAGTTCAGCGCCCACCAGCTCATGAACGGGAACGGCCTACGACTCATCGATTTCGCCGCCTCCAAGAACATGGCCATACGTAGCACCTTCTTCCAACACAGCCTCCCCTATCGTTACACCTGAAGATCACCACAGCAGACGGAATCGCAAATCGACCACGTTCTGATTGATGGACGGCACTTCTCCGACATTATCGACGTCAGGACCTATCGTGGCGCTAACATCGACTCTGACCACTACCTGGTGATGGTCGAACTGCGCCCAAAACTTTCCGTCATCAACAATGTACGGTACCGACGCCCGCCACGGTACAACCTAAAGCGACTGAAGCACCCGGATGTCGCCTTAGCATACGCGCAGAATCTCGAGACAGCGTTGCCAGAGGAGGGCGTGCTCGATGTGGTCCCTCTAGAGAACTGCTGGAGTACATTAAAAGCAGCCATCACCGACGCAGCCGAGAGCACCATCGGGTACGTGGAAAGAAGTCGACGGAATGAATGGTTCGACGAGGAGTGCAGAGCGATTTTGGAGGAGAAGAACGCAGCGCGGGCGGTAATGCTGCAGCATGGAACCCGACAGAACTTGGAACGGTATAAACAGAAGCGGAAACAGCAGACCCGCATCTTTCGGGAGAAAAAACGCCGCCTGGAAGAAGCGGAGTGCGAGGAAATGAAACTGCTGTGCTGTTCTCAAGAAACACGGAAGTTCTACCAGAAGCTCAAGGCATCCCGCAACGGCTTCGTGCCGCGAGCCGAAATGTGCAAGGATAAGGACGGGAGCCTCTTGACGGACGGACGTGAGGTGATTGAAAGGTGGAAGCAGCACTTCGATGCGCACCTGAATGACGAGGAGAACGTAGAGGCACGGGAGACCAGCAGAGGACGGAACTGACCCAACTCCCACGCGGAGGGAAATTCAGCATCTCAAAAACAACAAAGCTGCTGGTAAGGATGGTATCGCAGCCAAACTCATCAAGATGGGCTCAGAAAAGTTGGCCACCTGCCTGCACCGGATGATAGTCAGGTTCTGGGAAACAGAACAGCTACCGGAGAAGTGGAAGGAGAGAGTAATCTGCCCCATTCACAAAAAAGGCGACCATTTGGAATGTGAGAACTTCAGAGCGATCACCATTTTGAATGCCGCCTACAAAGTGCTATCCCAGATCATCTTCCGTCGTCTATCACCTAAAATGACCGAGTTCGTGGGAAGTTATCAAGCCGACGGCCGATCGACAACGGACCAGATCTTCACCGTACGGCAAATCCTCCAGGAATGCCGTGAATACCAGGTCCCAACGCATCATTTGTTCATCGACTTTAAGGCGGCATACGACAGTATCGACCGCGCAGAGCTATGGAAAATCATGGACGAGAACGGCTTTCCTGGGAAGCTGATCAGACTGATCAAAGCAACGATGGACGGTGTGCAAAACTGCGTAAGGGTTTCGGGTGAACTATCCAGTTCATTCGAATCTCGCCGGGGACTGCGACGAGGTGACGGACTCTCATACCTACTCTTCAACATCGCTCTAGAAGGCGTAATGCGACGAGCCGGGCTCAACAGCCGGGGTACGATTTTCACGAAATCCGGTCAATTTGTGTGCTTTGCGGACGACATGGACATTATCGCAAGAACATTTGGAACGGTGGCAGAACTATACACCCGCCTGAAACACAAAGCAGCAAAGGTTGGACTGGTGGTGAGTGCGTCAAAAACAAAGTACATGCTAGTAGGCGGAACCGAACATGACAGGATTCGTCTAGGAAGTAATGTCACGATAGACGGGGATACTTTCGAGGTAGTGGAGGAATTCGTTCACCTTGGATCCTTAATGACGGCTGATAACAATGTGAGTCGTGAAATACGAAGGTGCATCATCAGTGGAAGTCGTGCCTACTACGGGCTCCAGAAGAAATTGCGGTCAAAAAAGATTCACCCCCGCACCAAATGTACCATGTACAGAACGCTAATAAGACCGGTGGTCCTCTATGGACACGAGACACGGACTATGCTCGAGGAGGACCTGCGGAGTTTTCGAGCGACGTGTGCTAAGGACGATCTTCGGCGGTGTGCAAGAGAACGGTGAGTGGCGGCGAAGAATGAACCACGAGCTCACTGCACTCTACGGCGAACCCAGCATCCAGAAGGTGGCCAAAGCCGGAAGGATGCGGTGGGCAGGGCACGTTGCAAGAATGCCGGACAACAACCCTGCAAAGTTGGTGTTCGCTACTGATCCGGTTGGCACAAGAAGGCGTGGAGCGCAGAGAGCACGATGGGCGGACCAGGTAGAGCGTGATCTAGCGAGCATTGGGCATGACCGAGGATGGAGAGCGGCAGTCGCAAACCGAGTATTGCGGCGTACTATTGTTGATTATGTCTTATCTTAAATGTGATGTTGTACAAATAAATGTATGTAATGTTCCAAGTTTACAATTTGAAATTCTAGGATATTCGCTGCTCTGAGATTCTGGGTTCTCCAGAATTGTGGGATTTGTTTGTGATTTTAGATTCATGATTGCAACGCTGAGCAAATTCTAGGTTGAGATTCCAGGTTAAGACGCTTATACTCACTTGTGATCATTGCACAGATGCCGAATAACCGCTCCCGGTTGCATGAACGTCCGCGGGCACGACGGACACGTGTAAACGTACGTCGAAGGCGTGTGCTTCAGGTCCGTGTGTAATTTCAGCGTCTTCTCCGTATCGAACTGAAGATTACCTGTAATACGAAAAAGGGCACTCTCACTCCCAGTTATCCAGCACAAGCGCCTTAGGTACTTACATTCCTGACAGTTGTAGCCCGCTGGTTTCTCCTCCTCCACCCTTTCTTTCGTCTCCAGCTCAATGGGCCGGAAGTACTGCTCCGAGGGTCCCCGTATGATTGGAAGCGTAGACTGTGGTCGGGACTGTGGCTGCATAACTTTCCCATCCGGTCCCAGCACCGTATCGTTATTGTTGTTGTTCAAATTTTCCAGCTCGCCCACCTGCGCTCGCATGCTGTCGACCACACCCAGCCTTACCGTCTGGAAAACTGCTGCCGCCGTGCTGGGAACCCGATCCAACTGCAGCAAATGTTGCTGCCGGCTGAGATCGTCCTGTGTTAGCTTATGGTTAACCTTATCATAATAATCAGTCACACTCAGCTCAGTGCTGAGCTTATGTTGCTTCCGCCGCAGTCGTTCAATGATACTGGAAAGGTCCTTGTTGAGGATATCTGCATGGGCCTTCTTCGCCTTGCTCTGGCTGTCCTGCTCGGCCTGCAAGACCGTCGCAATGTCCTGATCCAGGAAGCCATCGTTTTGGAAGTGAAAATGCTGCGCCACATTGAACAGCTTCCGACAGTAGACACGTTTGTGCGAAATGAAATTGGTCAGGCTGCGGAAAATGTTCCGGCACACGCGACACTCGTACAGGACGTCGCACTCGTTGGCCAGCAGCTTCCGAATCTCTTCGGTACCGGCTTCGTAGGCCCGGAGTGCCTCCACGAACCCGGTGACCGCGGTCAGGATCGGTTTCCGCAGTAGACTCAAATCGACTTGGCGCTGGGCCGCGGCGCTGGAGCCACCACCCGACGAGGACCGCGTGGCGTCGTCATCCGACTCGGCAATCGACTTGCGGATGGAGCGCATTTTGATTCTGTAGCTTGGTCTGATTTGTTGCTGAACTGTAAGGTACTTTTGTGATGGCGTATCGCTTTCCGATAATTACATATTTGTGTTCGTTTTTAGCCGAGACGTGATCGTGCGGGAAGTCATGATAACGATGGAATGTCGTCACTGTGGGGATTAATCATCTATTTTCGCCACTGCAGATCATTCAAAGGGCAAATCTGAAAGGAGAGGAATGGAAAAATCAAATGAATTTACGAACTACGGTTATTATTATTCTGGTGAATATTAAAGTAGAATGGTTACGTTTCATCGAAATAATTAACTCCCAAATGACGTGTGACCTTATTGCAATTACCACCATCCGATATTGTCATGGGCGGAACGCGCACTGTACGAGTCCCTCAGGACAATAAATCTCTTTGCTGCTATTCAGATATAGCTATAAGGTGAGGAGTAGATAGGTATATGCGGTCTAGTTGACCCAAAATAATGGTTTCGTCGATTATGTGCAGTTTCCCTGTCTATTCGTTGGCTTTTGTGATGCACTTGCTATCTCATTCATAGCGAGTGCTGATGCCATTTTCGAAGAGAGGGTACAGCACTATGAGCAAGAACATTTTGTAGGGAACATGATTGTAGTTGTAGTGATAGGTAAAATGCATTGATTGACCTACAACAAATTGGCAACATTCTACCATTCCACTGCCGTCGGTTGCGGCACAGGTCGCGGTGACCAGTGTGTGTGTGTGTTTATGATAATTTATGGTGTTTGATTGAAGTACTTAATTGTGCGTAGGCATTTGTGCATGCCTCCTTTCACGATAAAGGTCACGAGTTCAAATCCCATCTCCGAGCAAACTACCAATAACGTAAGAAAATGTTCAACTTTTTCTGTTTCTTCTTCTTAGCTTATGTCAATTCTATAAAGAACTTCAAAGGCATGACATTTTAGACACTTTTTTACAAGACGGTCACCTAAAAGTAACTAAGATTCGGCTTCGGCAACCCAAATTTAAACGTTAATCTCACTGCATTTTCCCATCAAAACACTTCGCTGAATGCATTCACACGTTTCCTTAGTCTGTCAGCTTCAATCTGATTTCAGTTTTACGACTGAGCAATCCCGTTATGCCATATTTTTTCTTTAAATGAAATATTGCCAATTAAGATACAAATTAGCATTTGGCGTCATATTTGACAACCGAAATTGACAACGCCACTGACATGATGCTTAGGGAATTTCGAGCAATGATCCAAAATCTTTCCTTGAAGACCTTGTTTGCATGACAACGCATAAAACATTACAAAAATCAATAACAAATTAGATTGAAGTTCACAAGATAAAGTGTAGAAAACTGAAGCTATTTTAATTGAAAAGTAACTGAAAACTGCCTGCCAGCGCAAACGTAAATGATCCTCCGATCAACCTAATGGGGTGTTTACACTTCTTATGCTATTTCACTAGCGCTAATGAGCTATCTGCTAGCAGGGTTGCTTCGACACACTTGCTATAAAAAAATATTTTTCTGAATTATGCAATCATAGGGTAGAGAACCACTTCGGCCTAATCGCCCATTTTGGGCCTATCGAGCAGAAAACTTCAAATAAATCCATGATTTCAGAGTTAACAAGTCAATTATGCGTTTGGTACGATACTTAAGTGAATAAGCTACGCAACGAAGTCAATGAGAACGCGTGATAAGAAGGTTTACACCCATTATTCCCAACAACAAAAGAAGCGCTCCGACCGAATCATTTTTTATCGTCATCTGATAGGCTGAAGTGAATTCATTGGCGTTTCAATGCGTTAGGCCGAGTTTAGAATCCGTAGGCCGAGTTGGCGTCAAGAAGTAGTGTTAGACTTTTCACAATATCTCAACGATTGGTGTCTCTTTATCAAATCTTACAGTACATACGGAAAGGTAAATAAATTTGGAAGCCATCAGTAATAATAACATTCCGTTTTGTGCTAAACTGCGCTAGATTAAGAAAGACTAAATGCGGGTTGTGCTTAATAGGCCGGAAATGGGGTAGTTAACCCTATAATGATTTGTTGTACTTGTAAGTAACAAGAAGAGGGTGTAAATTATGTGTTTGATTCATAAAACCTGTTAATATTGCTTTCAGGGCGTCACAATCAGCTTTCTTATGATTCGTGAGCGTTCACTCAAAATGAGCGCTCACGAGTCGTAAAATCGCTTATTGTGACGCACTAAACGCAATATTGACAGATTTGATGTGTTAAACACATACTTGACGACCTCTTCTTGTAACTTACAAGTTCTAATTATCATTATACCATCTCATGATTTCACAATTCCGAAAAACATTTTTTATAGCGAGTGAGTAGAAGTAACCCTGTCTGCTAGCAAAAAAAGCTCACTAGCATAATGTAAACAGGGCATCAGCGTCTACCAGCATGAAATTTCAGGAGTAAAGCTGGGTTTAGACTAGGCAAGTCAAATGATCAACTCAGTTGAATTCAATTGGCTTGAAAAGTTGAGCCTGGTTCAACTTTTTTCAATTCAAGTGAGTTGATCAAGTCAGTTGAATGGCATGGTTACACGTTCAATTGGTGTTCAAGTCAGTTGAATTCAACTGAATTGATCAATTGACTTGCCCTGTCTAAACCCAGCTTAACTGAAATTCGTGCTAGTTGGCGAGCACACATAAACACCTTGGCGAGTACACCATAAACACCTCTATACTACTTTATTCCATGGTGGCACCCCTCTTCACAGTTGTTTCGCAGATCGTACACTGAGGCAAATAGACCTAAGAATTTCATAAGGCTCGACTTATGAACAACATATTAGAATTTCATAAGCATGACTTATGAATGATTTTCGGGTTGAGGTTAAGGCCCAAACGAAATTTGGACGGAAACGGAAAGTTTGACAGTTGCCACAAAAGACATCAAGATGCTTAACCGAAGTCGATTTGGTTCTAACTAGTTTTCAATCCGACAAGTAGGCTTACTCAGATCGGGCTTTTCCGCTGCCGCTGCCGTTCCGCTTCCGCTGTCATTGCGCTTGGGCCTTTATCCGCCGTTAACCATTTCATTTTCCCAAGCGTTGAAAGGCGAGTGGTCATCCTCAACCAGGGTTGCTTCCACTCACATGCTATAAAAAATATTTTTCGGAATTATGCAATCATTAGATGATATAATGATGTGTTGTACTTGTAAGTAACAAGAAAAGGGTGTAGAGTATGTGTTTGACTCATAAAACCTGTCAATTTCGCTTTCAGAGCGTCACAATCAGCGATCTTATGATTCGTGAGCGTTCACTCAGAGTGAGCGCTCGCGAGTCGTAAAATCGCTGATTGTGACTATCTGAAAGCAAATTTGACAGGTTTCATGTGTCAAACACTTGCCTTTCAACCTCTTCTTGTATCTAACAAGTATAAAATATGATTATAACATCTAATGATTGCAAAATTCAGAAAATCATGTTTTTATAGCAAGTGAGTGGAAGTAAGCCTGCCTCAGCGTCCATTTTCCGGTTCCAGTCTGCTCGGATTTATTATTTTTTTGACAACATTATTTTTCATAAGGCAAATCAATGAAATTCACAACCATTTCTTATGGCTAAAATTCATAAGTGTTTCTTATGAAATTCTTATGCCTGAGTGATAATCTACTGATAATCCAGACAATCATGTCGAAAACATCAACCAGTTCATTCCGGCTTCAATTGAGCCTTCGGTTAATGATATTTATTTTCAGGTTGTGATTTTCGTAGTCTACATTTCTATTACAGAAATGTGGTTGTGTCTATACCGTTTTTGGAGTATTTGACAGCTGCGGTTGTTTCTTCTTCTTCTTGGTGAAATGTCAATGCATGCTAAGATTTCTGTGCACTACAAAATGCAGCTGATTTCGAGTTGCCGACGATAGAACAGCTGGTTAACACGCAGTTCAAATGGAAAGGCTGCTGAAGAGTTGCGACCTATCACAATCACGATCGTCAAACAGCTGATGGTAGTAACGCTTAGTACATTCCTATCAATGTCTTGTCGAAGCACTCTCCTGACCATCCATCAAGTTGACAAAAGAAGTAAAAAGCAACTGGTGAATGTCGTCTTCGGTGTTGATCCATCACCGATCTGGTCATTCCCGACAATCACGACACTCATTTGTGCTCGTTTTGAAGCAGTTGCTGCTTTGCTTGCTTATGGGAGTGTGGTGGTGAGCGAGCCCAACTGATTCCGTTTGATTTTTCCAGTTTTGCGTGCCGAGACGAAGTTGGAATGCGTAGGCATTGTTTTCATTTTCTTCTGTCGTTTCCCTTTTTCTCATGATCGTACTGCAGAAGTCTTCATTGTTTTCGTTATGCTTTACATCATCAGCAGCGAGTGTTAAGTTTTGCGTGTGAGCAGCGATTAAAGGGCGAACACGAAATTATTGCGACACCGAAAATGTCATGCCAATTTTCTTATAATGTTTAGAATCAAACGAAGTTCCCGCTTCATTATTGCCCAGTACTGCTCCACCGGGCGCAGTTCCGGACAGTTTGGCGGATTCATGTCCTTTGGAACAAAATGGACAAAATTGGCCTCATACCACTCCAGGACACTTTTAGAATAGTGGCATGATGCCAAATCTGGCCAAAATAGCGGAGCTTCGTCGTGCTGCTGCAAGAACGGCAAAAGGCGCTTCTCGAGGCACTCAGATTTGTAGATCTCGCCATTTACTGTGCCCTTTGTCACGAAAGGCTCACTCCTTAGTCCGCAAGAGCAGATGGCCTGCCAAATGAGATATTTGGAGGCGAACTTCGACATTTTCTTCTTCTTAAATTTGTCGTCCACATCGAACTTGCTCTTGCCGGTGAAAAACTCCAACCCCGGAATTTGCTTAGAATCGGCTTTTATATACGTTTCGTCGTCCATCACACAGCAGCCATATTTTGTCAGCATCTTCTCGTAGAGCTTCCGTGCCCGAGTTTTGCCGTTGATTGTTGCCGCTCATCGCGGTTTGGGAAGTTCTGTACCTTGTATGTATGTAGTCCAGCTCTCTTCTTTGCATTCTGGACGTAGCTCTGCGACATGCCGATCTTTTTAGCCAAATCACGGCTTGAGACGTTGGGATTTGCTTTAATCATCCGCTTCACCTTTCCCTCCGTCTTTTTGTTCTCCGGTCCCGGTTTTCTTCCAGCTCCTTTGCCGTGGTCCAACGTCAACCGCTCCTGGAACCGCTTCAACACTCTGGAGACGGTTG